ACCATTTTTTCCCTTCCCACACTTTCGGAATTCTAAACTTTCTTATCGGCGCTACTACATCTAACGCTTCTACTATGCTGTCAACTAGCTTTGTCGCTCTCATACTGACATCCATATCTTGTTTGTTATGCAATTTATGTGCCACTACCCTGGTAACTTCACTTACATCAAATTCCTTAAAGCTTCTAGCGCTAAATTCTCTATAGTTATTTTTACTTCTATTAGCACCAAGTTTAACTTGAAGCCATGCGTGATCCATAATTTTAGGTTCGTAAACTACCTGTACTTCTAAACTATCATTATTAGCGAAGATTAAATCAATGATTGTCTGACTGTCTTTCGTGATTCTTGTCGGTTTATTAACGTATTGTTTCATACCTAAGCTCAGCATTGTCGTTTGCAGCTTCTTCGCATAAAAGGAATCTAACATAAGATCTATATTAAAGTCACCTATTACTATACATTCTTCTTTTATTGTTAACTCCTCTACTATATCTTCCAGAAATCTCATAAAGTCACCATGCGATGCGCTTGGTGAGTGATATACTACCATAATCACCTTTTTACACAATTTTTCTTTTACTTCTACCGGTACACACCAACAGTTCAATTTTAAGGTTTTTGCTAATACTATTTCATACTTAACATCGTCCCTTATATATAAAACAACTCCTCCTGTATTTCTGTTCTCAGTATTACACCTAACTATACTATAACCCTAAACGCTCACTTCACTATCATCAATCTCATTAGTCAATCTAGTTTCCGACAGTGCTAAGAATGCAGGATTTATTTTCTTCAAAATCTGATGCTGTATCTCATCTTTATGCGCCGGTAGACTTTGCGCATTTGTATATAGCATTAGCTCCACATCTTCCTGTAGTTGCTATTTAGTGTTCTTCCAGCCAGCTCTCCTCTTCTCTTCTTGCAATGCTCTCTTAAATGTTGGACACTCCATACTGAGAGCGTCGTGCTCGTCATTTATTTTTAGGTTGTATGTTCGAATTTTGAACATACAATTTACACACTTTTTCTTTGTCGCTGAACAGTCAATCGAGTTGTGATTTCCTGCACATTTGTGACATGTCTCGTCTCTCACACAGTTTTTAGCTATGTGATAATAACCCAGCATTTAAAACATCTTTTAACACTAACATGATTAAATACAGGACATTTCTTCCATCCTATATTTAGTTTACTTTTCTTCAGAATCAACTCGTGTGTTTCATCATCTGTTTCTACTATTATTGATCCCTCTTCACTTTCTCGTTTTTTAGACTGGTTGTCATTATTTTTCTTTCCTTTCATTATTTTCTTCACTATTCGCATATTTATTGTATCCATTTTATTCTGCCTTTTTATCGTAGATATAAGTTCATTATCACTTAAATTTATCTCTTCCTTCCCTACATTAATAATTTTTAATTTCGGCTTTGATTGTGGCGATTCCACTACTTTATAATTTTCTCCTAGTTTAGCTTGAACTGTCTCCTTCAACTTTTTTACTTCCTCTCCAGTTTCACATCCCATTATTACAGTTCCCTTGCTTCCTTTTCTTAATTTTGTTATTCCCATCGCCATGTTCTTAATATCCACTTTTTCTTTTATTACCTTTTTTGTGGTTTCACTTTCTTGTTCCAATTTTGGCTTCACAATTATAATATTTTCTCTCTTCATTTCTTTGACTGCTTCACTGTAGCTTCTTTGCGTTCCTGACGTTGGTTCGCGCATTACTCCCTGTATCATTNTTCTTAGATTTTCCAGTTCGTGTTTAACGTTTCCCAATTCCTCTCTAACTATCTCTTTAATCATCATTTTAATTTCTTTTTTACAGGTAGTTTCATCTTTGATTTCTTTCACAGTTCTTATAAGATAATCTATTTTTATATCAATGCCAGTCGATCCACTCACTCCTGATAACTTATTTCCACTACTTGGTGCCGTAAACGATCCCGCAGAACCTATAGATCCTGTAGATCCTGTCCTATCTCTGCTGCTCCCCGTCGTCGTCGGAGCTTTTTTCATACTTGCTTCTTGGCCGTTTTCAACGAAAAACTCTTCAAACGGACCAGCACATTGCACCAATTCTCGATTTCTATCATAAACTCTATGTTTACATATACATCCCGGATGGTAAAAAAGTTTGACACAAGACTTGCACTTAACAACTTTGTTTTTTATTGCCTTCTTACATGCCGAACATCGGTATTCTGCATATTCATCGTCAATGCCGATAATTACCGACCAGAGTCGTTAATATCAGTGCAAGCGATCATTCACCTGTGATCCACTTACACACGTCAGCACCTTGTATCCACGTAAAGTGTCTACCCGTCTTGCGAGTCTTCGATATCCCGAACAAGAAATGCACTTCTCACAGTCACAACTAAGCATATCCTGGCTAGATAATACTCATAATTACTCACTTTTTATGGCTCTATAAGTTAAACCACTTTTTATCACACTTTCTTATTGTTTACTCACTAAAAACTTATACTTTTTACGGAGCGATGTGTGACACGTCTTCTCTACTCGCGAGAGAGAGAGAGAGAGAGAGAGAGAGAGATTAATTGATTGATTGATTATGCTTTATTTGACGCTCTGGAATGATATTCTCTCAAGCGTATAAGATCAGTTACAAGAAAAAGTAAGAGCAAAACAATAAGTGCAAGTATAAATGAACTAACATAGCATATTCTGGTTTAGTAGATGCTCAAAATATTTGGATTTGAAAACGTTAAAGCGTTCGTTGCGGATGTCTACTGGAATATTATTCCATACATCTACAGAGACACATCTGTAGGATCTCCTATAACATTCAGTGCGGCACAACGGCAGAATCATAGTTCTACTGTCAGCTCGAGTATCATGTAGCTGTAAATCTCTAAAAGAGTATCTTTCATATAAAAGTATTGGTCTTTCTGTCTCCAGAATTTTAAATAACAATTTGCCTACAAAGAATGTTCTTCTCAATTTGAGTTTGAGCCAGCGTAGTTTCTGATAATGTGGTGTTATATGTTCGTACCATTTGACTTTGAGGATGAATCTAACACATCCGTTAAAAGCTTTGTGCAACCTGAGATTGTCAGTTTCTGTTACATCAGTCAGTAGAGTACAACAGTAGTCGAATATTGGACAAATCAGAGATGACACCAATCTAGACCGAACCAGAGGGGAGAAAAGGTGCTTGTATATCTTCAGCCGGTACAGTGCAGTATTGGCACGCGAGATTATATTAAAGACATGAGTGTCCCAAGACAAAGTATTAGTCAATGTGACTCCAAGATAAGTTACTGAGTTGCTCCATGGAATAATGGCGTCATCAACCACCACATGAGACATGGCTTGTAAGTCGATTACATTAACATATCATGCCGTTCCGAAGATAATTGCTGATGTTTTACTAGCATTAAGTCTTAATCCATTTGCTGCTGCCCAATTTACGACACTACATATTTCATTATTGATCTTGTTCAATGCATCCCCTAACGACGGTGGTTCTGTATGCAGATAAATAAGCAGGTCGTCAGCATAGAAATTATATTTGCAATACTGCAGGATATTACCGAAATCAGAGACATATAGTGAAAAGAGAAGTGGTCCGAAAACTGATCCCTAAGGAACGCCTTTAAAAATTGGTAATTTTGTTGACAATGTATTTAGGTAATCATCACAAACTGCTTGGGTTCTACCAAAGAGATAGGCACTCATCCACCTCAAAGCAGTGTTAGAAAAATTCATGCCGATTAGTTTATTGATCAGACGTCGATGATCTACATTATCAAAAGCTTTAGTAAAGTCGAAGAAAACTGCAATCGTGACTCTCCTGTGATCAGAAGCCTCTCTTATATCATCAAGTACTCGAATAAGTGCAGTCTCAGTCGAGTAACCTTGTCTGTATGCATTCTGATATGGATCAAATAGATTCCTGTGTTCCAAATATTCCAGCATCTGTCTTGCAGCTATTCGTTCAAGTGCTTTCGACAGCACACAAAGCAAAGAAATCGGCCTATAATGCTGTAGATCCGATGGAGCTTTTATCTTAGGTATCGGACAAACTATTGCCGATTTCCAAATAGTAGGGAAAACTTCATTATTTAAGCTGTAATTGAAAATGTGCGTGAGCACCGGTAGAATACAAGGCATGGCCAACTCCAATAGCTTGCGTGAAATATCATCATCTCCCGTAGAGTTGGATACAACAGTAGTTACTGCAGTTCTGATCCTGGCATCCTCAACATTCGACCAGTAAAATTTTTCCTCATCATACTCCAGTTCGCCCAAATAAACCTCATAATTGTAGATAGCTGCTGACTGATGACTAGTTAAAAAGCTGTTAAAATCATCAGCTGTGAAAAGCAGTTTATTGGAGTTAGCCTTAGTCTTAATTAAGCCTAGCTGACGAAGCTTTATCCAGGTGTAAGGCCGGCTTTTTGTAATCTCCAAAGACAGTTAAGTAGTAATCTTGCCTCGCCTTGCGAACTATATCCTTAACTCGGTTCCTGGACTCTTTAAACAGGTTATAGTTTGTCTCGGTTTTGAGTCTCCTCCATTTTCTTCGAAGCCTATTTCTTTCGGTCATCTTTATCTTGATAGCCGGCGTAATCCAAGGTGCAGGCAAACGTTTAGGATGTATAGTCTTAAGAGGAGCATGTCTGTCATAACAACTTAACAGATAATTGTTGAGGAGATCAACATTATCGTCAATATTGTCAATGTCACGGATTGCATTCCAATTACAGGCAAGTAATTCTTCAAGAAAAGACTCATTGTTGAACCTTGTGAAATCTCTCACTACTATCGTTCTGGCATGCCGTCGCTGAACGTAAATATTGTAAGTAACTTCCACTAAATCATGAGCAGATAGAAATCCAACATCATGCTGCTGAAAGGATATAAGTTTTTCAGCATCATCCACAATGCATAAATCTAATAACGTAGACGATGTAGGTGTATGATGTGTCGGTGCATATGGTACAAGATACATAGATGATGCAGAGACAAAGAAAGTTATCTGGTTTGAGTCAAATGTTAATTGCAAAAGATCAGCGTTGAAATCTCCGAATATTATGCAGTGGCTGTATTGTACTGATATGTCAGTCACAATGGTGAAAAATTCGGCCAAATATCCACAGTGCGGCGGTCTATAGACAACCGCAAGCACGACCTTTTCACTGCCTGAGGTAATTTCAGCTATCAAAAACTCAGGCTTCCGACTGTATACACCTCCAGATGTTGCCAGAATCCTTACGTTAAGTGAATCAGCCAGAAACAACGCGACTCCACCACCTATTTTGTCTATTCTGTTGCACCTAAGCAGTTGATAACCTGGTAGAACTATATTCCGATCTAAAATAGCCGGCTTAAGCCAGGTCTCTGACAGGCAGATAATATCGTACTGAGAATCAGTAAAGAATAGCCGAAACTCGTCAAAATGTGCCATTAAGGACTAGCAATTTACATGACAAGCACGTAAATAATGTTGTTCCATGATATTACTATCCATAATTAATGTTTCTGACCTTATCCTGCAGTTTCTTAATTAGTATAGAGCTAGCTCTGCCATTCAATGCTGAATGTGCGGAATCAACACGATGCCATCTCCTGCAGTTGCCACAGATCGGATCGTCCATCTTCTTTGTGCAGTTAATCATCTCATGTTCCCCGGCACAGTAGCCGCATAATGGAGAAGATTTACAGTTCTTAGCTAAATGCCCGAACGCCAAACATCTGTAGCACTGAAGTATGCGTACATGACCCTCGAATGCACAAGAGGAATATTTTATATATATATGTGTTTGTTGACGTAGAACGGTTCGTACCTCAGGCGACACCTCAATGACACAACTCGTGTAACGACGCTCAGCCCTACATGGAAAAATATACACCACATTCACGCTTTGACTAGCCGCTTTATCTAGATTAAGGGCAACAATCTTAGATTTGATATCTTCTTTCGACATATCAGCAGGTACTCTATGTACAATTAGACGCGGATTAGATTTAGGGACTTGCATAATTTGTAATCCAGCATCGGCAAGTTCACATGATTTCTCAATCTTAGGCAGGTCTATTTTAAGAGCCTCAATACGCACACTGTTGTTACGAGCAGAAGTGATTTTCCTGACCTTCATGTTATAGTTTGCTGGCTCAATAATTCTCTGAAATGCTTCTCTAGTGTCCTTAGATGTATTATATTTGGCCTCTTGATCCTTATGAGGAACGCTTAATATATCCGTAGACTTATCCACGGAGAGCGCCGGACCTCGAGCTACATGTACAGTAGAGTTAGTCGCTTTCACAGCATTAGCGTATGAACAAGCCGGAGAAAAACCATTTTGAGACATAAGTCCAGCAGACCTATGCTGCAGCGCTTCAACCTTGACCTTGGAAATCGCATCATTAATAATTTCCTTAACCGACTCGACAGCAACTGAAGCAGAGCTCATATTTTTTTCTAATAGTGCCAAGTACGCGGATGCCAGCTCAGAGTAGGCTTCTTTACAGATTCTAAATGCCGATTCGATTTTCTTTCTTTTATCCAGTGAATCTTTGCTAGCCAAAAATAATTTTGCTATTGACTCATTATGATCGTTAATAGAACGCTTCAATGCATTAACTTTGGATGGACTAATCATAATTCCAGTAGACAAACCGTAAGTAGACAAACCGTAAGTAGACAAACCGTAAGTAGACAAACTTACATTTGACAATAACGCAGAAGAAGATTCTGTAGAACCGCCCGGTATAAAGCCATTGTTGATAGCTCCCGCCTGATAACCGTTGCCTCGATCCGAGATAGGCGTGGAAAAGATTTCGTGCGTAGACATATCGTCGACCAATCAGAGGATCCGCCGCCACGCGCTCGCCAGGAATTGAGAGGAAGGGAGGTCCCGTGGGCCACGTCAACCGTCAGCGAGGATAAAACCAAATGACAGCAAATGCACAAAAGCGCAACAGGCACTTGCAGAAAAATGACCAGACTCCGGCAGCAGACAAACCAAAACCTTGTTCCTTACTGACTGACAAATCAGCGCCCCGAAGGGCAAGAAGCGACAGTAATCTGTTCACAAAATGAGAGCTCAGAAATACACGTCAATCTATACTTACGGAGCAAATCGAAGAGGAGAGAGAGAGAGAAGTAGTATGAACAATGCACCACGGTTGCCCCCTCAGCGGGGTTCCCGAGGTGTTCAGTTGTTGTGCCCTAATGAGGGGCCCCCTCCTACTAGGAGTGCTCGAAGGCGTCGGCGTCGTAAGGCGGCAGCGGTGGCCATCAGAAGGGCTCAGAGTGATGCTAGTTCGGCATCATATGCTGAGCTCCTGAAGATGGCCAAAGATAAAATATCGCTGCGCGACCTGGGTATTTCGGATACCCGGGTAAGACCCGATGTAGAAGGGGGGATCTTGGTGGAGATCCCGGGACCGGAAAGTGCGGAGAAGGCGGGCCGCCTTGCGGGCGCTCTGAGGCCGATCTTTGGGCACAGAGCGGTGGTTTCCTGTCCTGTACAACAGGGGGAGCTCCGCCTATCTAACTTGGAGGCCTGCACAGAGGCGGAGGAGGTAAAGGCGGCACTTGCCTCTGGCGAGTTCGGCCGGTGCTCGGAGGCTGACGTACGCACTGGCGTACGCTCAGAGAGAGACGCGGCGGGTTGGGGGTTATGTGAGTGAGATGCCCCCTGGCCGTTGTGGAAAAGGCCTCAGCCGCAGGAAAAATCTGCATTGGGTGGACTTGCGCCCGGGTAACGCTGCTCCCGGGCAGGCAACTCCAGTGCTACAAGTGTCTGGAGTTCGGCCATATCCGGGCGGTGTGTGCGAACGGGGCCGACCACAGTGCGGATTGTTACCGCTGTGGCCGGCCGGGACATGTAGCGCGCGAGTGTGAGTATGCGGCCCATTGCGTGCCGTGCTCTGAGCGCGGTTTCCCGGCCGGACATCGGGCGGGTGGGGCAGCATGCCGCTCTAAATTTAGCGGCCGAAACGGGACCAGACCCCGCAAGAGTTCGAGCGCTGTGCGGTGGACGGCGGACGATCCTCAGGAGGGGGGTCGTATGGACACGGACAAGAACCATGGACCAGGTCCTCCAAATCAATGTTAACTATTGCGGTCCGGCGCAGGACCTGGCCGTGCATACTATGCGCGAGAAAGGGATATCCCTCATGGTGATATCAGAGCCCCGGCGAGTTGAGGATTCCCCGTCGTGGGCGATTGATCTTGACGGCGTTGCTGCGGTTTATTGGAGCCCATTTGCGGCAAGTGCGTCGGACCCTCGGGCGAGGTCATAAGTTCGTGGGGGTGTTGTGGGGCGATGTGGCGGTGTTTAGTTGCTACTTTTCCTCCA